TGCCTGTTCAGTGGAGCGATCTCGATTTAATTGAAGCTAAATGGTATTTTTCTGTGAAAGCAAACAAATAAATTCTGTTACTATGTGTGCAATGTCATTTAAGCGCCGAAGTTGATACCGTGAAGCCAACCGCTAAGTGCTACTCTGCCCACACCGCAGCTTGCGTTAGTCCATCGCCATGGCGTCTATTCTCGGCTCCCTCGCCGCCACACTTCTCGTCGCTCTTATATTTACTGTGAGGCCCCTCCACGATGAGGCTCCATAGAGATTCTCTTATTATTTGCCCTGTATTGTGATAATTCTTAGATATTTCTGTGCCAATTAAAGCGACTTTTTCGCTAATTATCCCTATGTTTTGTGCTCATGATTACGATTTCCCTGAGGTTACGCTGGGTGCTGCCGTGCTGGTGACTCCTGCTTGAACTCGTAATATGCCGGCATTCCTATGTTTCATGTTCACGCCTAAAAAAGTTCCACGTACGTTCAGGTCGTGTTCAGAAGGAACATCTTTGTAGTAATTACTGTAGTTTTAAACGATACCTTGACTTACAGGTGACGTTTGGCGTGGGCGTGTACACAGGGCTGTATGCCGCGCAGAACTACGAGGTGCCGCGTGTGGATGAACCCGGCAAGATCTGGGAGAAGATCAAATCCTGGGCTGACGACCACAGAAAGAAGGACTAACTCCGCCATAGAGAGGTGACTTGCAATGCAGAATTATGTAAGGCCTGTGGATGAGTTTGATTACATTTTGCTAGTTGATCATACAGCTGTGGCTTGACATCAACTGTTATCGGCTCATAAACTAGTAAGTTCTGAAATATAAAAAATATAACTCAGTACCCACTGCAGTGAGTGACAGAGAGCGCATTTTCTCGTCGACGAAAACGTGAAGTCACGGACAGACAGACGGACAGACATGATGAGCACAATAGTGCATTTTTCCATAAATGAGAAAATGCGCTAAAAACGAATTGCAGTTTGGTTTCATCAACCTTTACCTACTCAAAAAAACAAGCGGGACTCGAGTAACTACCCCTAGGAAAGCAGATACGGTATCAAATCATGGCTTGTTAATTGTTTTATGGTAAAACAACGACTAAATTTTCTGAGACATCAATGGTAGAGTAATTTTTCATGGTATGGATCAGTGATGCAGCGGGAGCTCCTCTTAAGCTGGCCGCGTAGATACATTTTAATATTGAAATTGTGTATATGAAGTGTGACTGTTTTGTCTTGTGTGTTTTCTGCATTACATTCTAATTTTTTTTTAACTGGAGCAAATTTTCAGCTTCTTTGAATCAGTTAGCGTATCAAAGCGATACACATGAGCTGACGTTACGATAAAACAATATAACTCAGTACTCACTGCAGTGAGTGACAGAGCGCATTTTCTCGTCGACAAAAAAGTGAAGTCACGGACGGACAGACAGACATGACGAGCACAATAGCGCCTTTTTTCCATAAATGAGAAAATGCGCTAAAAAGGCACAGATTATGTCAAAATGCAAAAAATTATTTCATGATAAATATCTGTAAAGCATGTGGATACATACGAGCATCGCCTTCTTTCTGACGGTACCTTTAATATTTAAAACCAGAAGTTCTCGTACCCCCGCATCTTCATTATCCGATATTTTTCCCTCTCTTCTGTTTCGTTTAATGACGAGATTTCCTTTTATGCTGTTTTTGCTCCAGCAACTTGAAGGCGCTTAGTTCATATTGCTTAGGCTATATGTATAGGCATCATTCTAGGTAAGATTTAGGTTCTCTGTTCATGTAGCTTGTCATGAACGTCTCAGAGTTTTGACATTTAGTACCAATTTATGCTAGGTACTCAAAATCGGTGAGGAAGTTTCTCCACTAAAAATATTTGAACTTAAGTACTTGCTCATGAAATTCCGACTTGTTTTGAGTTGATGAAAGCGATACCGGCCTTACACCCTGACATTAAATGAAGGAAAGTGTTTTGGAATTGTGTCGAATATTATCATGCTTCTTGATTCAAAACATGACTTATTTTGCATTGTGATCACGAATATCGAATTCGACTTCTGAATTCAAAACCGAACTTTTACTGCTAGTTGATGATCATGGAAAGAAAGGAAAGCCTTATGGTAAAGGCGCATTTATAATAAAAGTTCTGTTAGTTACTTAAGATATATGCTGTATCTACGTTTCGTGCTCAGCTTGACTGTCCTCTTTCTATAGTTATCAAGAGCTGGATTTTATTTTAATCATTTGTTGTGAAGATTTTGCTTTAGATGTAATTTGTCCAGTATTAATTTATTTTGCTCTCATTTATGAATCACTATTGACACACCATGTTAAGATCGAGTTTTTACTTTCATTTTATCTCTAAACTCCAGATTTAACTCTAAATTGGTTCCAAAGTATCATCGTGAAACACTTCATGTCGCGGAAATAAACGTTTACATGTTGACGACGTATTCTCGGTCGGTACGTGTAGTTAGCCTACCCAGTTCAGCTGGCCGCGAATATGTTGTAGTTTAAATAGAAATTTCTTCTAGCAACGCTTGTAGACGTTGTGATCTTTGCTACTACTGTTGGGATATTCTTACCAAGAATTCCTTTCAATTATCTCTTTAATGCCTAAAAGAAAATTATTTAACTTTACTTTCATGTTTATCTGTCAGTTCAGTTTTTTATGCTTGCCTGTATCCCTTTTTTTATTTCAATAATTGATTATCTATTTGCTCATGGTTTACTTGCTCGTTGCGCGTCGGTATAGTTTATTTATCGAAAATTGGCCCAAAGAAGCCTGTCGTCAGGCTCATTTTCATCTATTCCAATTCTTGTTCTCAACTTGAAATTGAAACGGAAACGTGTGCTAGCGAATATTCTATTTGAAAACCTGTCGTAAGGCTGAGAAATAACAGAATTTTTTTTAAATTGATCCTCTCCGGGTGGTTAATGAAATTTTATTCATCCTCGAATGCTAATGTCGCGATCTTCTCTGCACCTGATAGTTGTGATGAAAAATAAGCGCCCCATCTGCCGTATAATCTTAAGCTTTGCCTCCATTTTCACTTCGATACCGGACTAATATGTGTGCCATTGAATTTATTTGCAGACTGTACAAGTGCTCTTGAATTTTAAACAGGAAAACTCTTGGAAATATCATTATCTCCTAATAGTTATCTGTACGTTTTCTTCAAATTGCCTAATCTATATCTGTCTGTGCAGATGTAATCGGCGGACGGACATCATGGGTAGTTCTACACTACCTTCAGCGTCTGCCTCTGGACAACAGCTCCTAGTCTACCCTCTTGTATTCCAATGAAATTAGGAGAGCTAATTAAAATGATATGATTTTTAAACTTGAGACATGTGAATAATGATAGTTTTGTGGTTCTCCTTTTTTTAAATAATATTGTATTCCTGCCATCAAAAGTTCCAGTATCAAGCAACAGTCTTGCCGATAGTACAGTTTACTCAGACATGTGCTAATAATTTTTGATTATGTTATTTGTTGTGGGAAAATCTCTACTTTGTAATGGAGTCGTCGAATATGTACGCGAGTGTGGGAAGGCGATGTGGATTTTCAATTTCCTGTTTTGTGTTAATAAGTGAGCACCTGACCTTGTAAAGACACGCTAATTGATAATTATTTGAACGCTCGACAACAAGATGCAAATATTCTCTATTTCAACTGACATGTTATGTGTAAATCCTCCGTCTGGAGCGTAGTGTTTTGTGTTTAGTTTTTAAGAATGATGTGATTGTAATATTATTCACAATAAAGATTATCTTTCTCAAGCCTGTGCGCTTACCATGCTTCCTCACACTTATTATTCTTAAATCAAGCAAACAATTCGAATGTTACTCATGTGCTCATACGCAGTGAAAATCTAATTATACATGACAATTATCAATTATTATTTTTTTAATAATAATTGATATCAAAAATTTTGTGTCACCGTCCTTGGACTTATGTTCCGACATCTTGTAATTCTTCGAATGGATTTCTCTCATACTACCACGTAACTTAATTGATTAAATTAAGTATAAAATTGTAGAAATTTAACGCAAATTGTGTAAATTTGGTTAAACTTTCGGTGCTGTTTCTACAATTTCATGTGCGATCATTGCTGTTATTGACTTTGTGACCGATTGATGGGAGTTCAGCACAGTAAAATTAATCTAGAAACTGAAAGGATCTTTATTCTTTGACTCAGCTGACGTCATTTATCGAGGCCACCCAGAGTAAAAAAAAACAATGATAGAACTTGAAATTGTAGAAACTCCACTAAATTTAACCCAATTGTAGGTTAAACGGTAAAGAATGATTCTTGAGACTCTAAAAAATCTTGAAAGAATCGTGAGCCTAAACAATTTGCGATGGGATCTTCAGAAGATAAGTCAATCCTTCCGGCTTATGCAGGAGCATATGTTCAGTCTTAAAATGCCTAGAAAATTACGGACCAGGCCATAAGTCCAGCAGCTATCTCAATCAATCGTCAGCTATGGAAAGATCGGGTTCCAAAGGCCGGATCCCTTGTGAATCAAGTCACGAAAAGTTCATGAATCGGCAACAGGCCATGGGCCTATTACTTCAGTGCCCACACTTCTATTCTATGGAAAATTGTCTTCAAGAAGGACGTCAGTTGAAGAGGTGCAGTAATTAATGCAACAGGTTGACCCATTCAGCACAAATTTGCCTGCCACACGTTTAAGAGTTCTTGTATTTCAGTTGTTGAGTGCGAGTACAATTAATATAGTGTATTATTATTATAGGAATAATCTAATGCTCTTAATAATGAGTATATTATACTGTTCAGAATAAGGATATGAATAACATGACTGCATTTAATTCGAAATCAAATATGGTTTGATTTTTTGTTCTGTTCAGTTGTGGGGAAGGTGATCGTAGTCGACCAGTTTGTGAAGCAAATTTTGTTAGCAAGTGAGTAGTAAAATTAAATGTTATTATTGGCTCCATTACTGTGACTCCATTCAACTTTCCAAAAACGAAAATGTCACCGAATTCAGTTTTATTTATTGATGTTCAAGCAACACTAATACAGATTAGGAAAAAGTCGATACATATATGATTCAAGAAATTATTTTAATTCTAATGAAAGTTTAGTCTGTTCCTGCAGAACTTGGCAAATGAAATTGCAGGTTTACAGAACCAAATATCTTACTATATTTGAATATGTTTATTATTTTTCATGTAATTCCTGGCTTTGTTCGGTCAATTCATATTTAAATTACAAAAATATGTCAATCTTGTACAGTGGCATTCAATCAACAACGTGAAACACAAGTAATCTCATAGTTTATAAAAAAAGTACTTGTAACGGATATATTGCTCTTGTCGAAACCTCAAGTAGAACTTGGGAAAAATGCACTGGCAATGAGCAGTTATGAAAGTTGAAATTCGAAGGGGCGACTTTAGCAAAACATTTCTGCAAAAAATAACAATAAATAAAACGAATTGATACACTTTCCATGGCTACACAGGAAATATGGCGATTAATTGATATGGGTACGTATTTTGAGGGCATAAATATATTCGTGATCTGATCATACCACATTTAACTGAGAATAAGATAAACATAAATCATTGGTAAGTTATGTACAGCTCTCTACAGCCTTGCTGGCTCTTGTGTTATCCTATGGAGTTGTGTGTTATCCCGCGGAATTCGGAAGGGATGATTTTGCCCCCGGGGAAACCTGGGGGGATGACGTTGCCGAAGGGCGAGTTGACGCCGGTTGGGGTGATGGCGTTGTTGTTGTTGTTTTCTCCGTTACCGAAGAGACTGCACAGAAAACAAGATTACCGCTTTTAGCGCATTTTCTCATTTATGGAAAAAATGCACTATTCTGCTCTCCATGTCCGTCTGTCCGTCTGTCCGTGACATCACGTTTTCGTCGACGAGAAAATGCGCTCTCTGTCACTCACTGCAGTGAGTACTGAGTTATATTTTTATAGTTATCTCGAAGAACCACACGCTTGAAACCGCATGCGTTCTTTACATTAACGTCTACAACCGTTGCTCTTACGTTCTTGTGACGTTTGAAACTACAATACGGACGCCATTACTTGCGTCTGGAACTGCGCACTTGACATCGTGTATTCACTTTAAACAAACTACTAAGCTTGCAGTAGCCGAGTGGTTAAGAATTGGTAATAAGGTTACTTCGCTAAATGAAAAGCTGACAGCATTACATTACATTTTATCACAACCACTCTTCTCGCTTCGAAGCACCACTAAAAATTTTCTGCGTCTTAGACTTTTGATGAGATTCTAGTTAGCTAAGACAAATAACTCTGTATCCTTGATGAACATTTTTTACGTTGTTTTATGAATTCTAACTGAAATTTTAGTTGCCCGGTGTAGAATCACGTTATATGATCATACTACGGTCACCGTTTTGTGATAATCCGATGCAGCGTTTGAAATATCCTCTGGCAGTCAGCTATGCAGGGAAAGAATTGTGAATGGAAATTCGTTAAAGTGAACAATCTTCGTACGTTGTTAGTCAAAATTGAAACTGATGTTATGTTTTTGGGTGTCATTTTTAGTTAAATATGAAAGTAAGTCTGTCGAAAGCGCTTTGGAATGTTTACTGTAATTAGTAACGAAATGTGAATGAACTAATTAATTTCTTGCTTGAAAATCTAGTTTACTAGAAGAAATGATTTTTTAGCGATTAATGTGAAAATCGCTGTTTGCCGCTTTTATAAGAACATACACGTCTGTGGTGTCAGGTTCCTTCTGATCGTGAATAATCAAGTTCTGATGAATTGATATTTGATCGAGGGAAACTTCTTATCTTTCATCCTCATTAACCGATTTATCATATCATAGGCGAGAGCGCTATTCCAGCTTAGACTGACAATGAATCAATTGGCATAACCAACAATGAATCAATTGGCATCACCAATAATAAATCAAATGGCATCACCAACAATGAATCGGAATAAATCGGTCATTGAGAAGCTGGAATTGATCACAGATCATTTGTTGCAACAATGTAAAGTAACTCACCTGCTAACCAACTCGTCTCCTCTCACTCTGACTGCGCTCTTGTTCGCAACCGCCTGCTCGATGGCCGTCAACTTGGCTCGTATTTCTTGGAACTCTGCAGAGACATTCGCCGGAGATGACATTTCCATGCCATCAATCTTGGTTTTAATCTCGGTAAATTCTCTTTTCAAATCCGTGACTGTGTTTCCGAGGTCAGTTAATCGATCAGGGTTATTCTCTAAACGACCGTCGATTCTTGCTACTGATGATGAGACCGTAGTCAGTTCGTCCCTCAGCGACTCCACAGTTCGGTGCACAGATTCAAATCTGGTCTCCGTGTTTTGTAATTTAGTCTTTATATCCTGGAGCTGATCTTTCAAGTAAATGATATTTTCCTGGTCTTCTCCTGAAAATAAATTACGGAATAAATATATCGTCTATCATATATGCATGGCATAATGCAATGAATAGAAATGATAATGTAAAACGTCAATTGAATCATTTTGATTGATTGTAAATTGAAGTACATTTTAAGTAACACGATCGTAATAGGATGGTTCATTCGCTAAAAATATTTGTTTTTGTTGATTCTATGTCTTCGTTACTCCTACTGTCTTCGTTGCACCTACTGAGAAGGCTTTTATTTACATAGACTTGCATATTTTATGGCAGATGCCGACACACAAGATTTTCGCAATTTATTCCGCAGTATTGGCACCGAAATTCTCATTAAAACAATTGACTTGAGGTATCTGGTGATCGAAATTGAAGGCAACCCGCGTGGAAAACAGGCAACCCGCGTGGAAAACAGGCAACCCGCGTGGAAAACAGGCAACCCGCGTGGAAAACAGGCAACCCGCGTGGAAAAACTAGCCAGCCGAACTCGATCAGAATCATTCAATAGTGTAAACCCGTTATGAAGAAATTGTGAACAATTAGAGTGTCGTATGAAAACTAGATATGCCACAGAACTTCATCCATGTACAGAGTTCGACCCTATTTAAAACAAGATAACTCGTAATAGAGACACGAAATAACCTCTTAACAAAACAAAAACGGGTTATCCCGCGAAGTTGACTCAGAAAATGCCCATGCAAGACAAATAAATGTGCCGTAACATTGGCCTATAATAAACTTCTATATAAGAACTTGCAATTCCACATCTTTAACCCAAACGAAACCCATGTCGGGAGAACTCACTTCGGTCTCCTGTAAGCTGCAGTAGCGCCGACCGCGTATAATTCACATTCTCCTCCAGGGAATGGACCTTCTCTTCACAGGTTTCCTGTAACCGGCCATTACACTGTTCGAAAAATGACCGTTAACGGTATTACCGGCGTTTCAGTGGCCGGTCGGCACGTGAAAAGAAACACCGTGTCGCCGTTTTTATTCTAATTTAACACCAGAAATCCGTAAAACATCTGATAAAAACGGCGAAAGATTTTATTTTCACGGGGCGACCGGCCACTAGAATGCCAGTGGGACCGTTTTTTCACCGTTTTTTCTAACAGTGTAGTTGATTATAATTATGCAAGCGTTAAAGACGAGCATGCATTTATTTCAATGCTTTCAATTTTGTCCAACAGTTTGACGCCTTATTAAAGTAAAAAGGGGATATCTTAATTCAAGCCAAGCTTTATTATTTTTGCTACAAATTGTACATATTTAGGATAGGTAATTATGCAAGCGTTGAATTATGACTATGACTATCGGTAAATAAATTAAATTATGACTGTGACTATCGGTTATGACTATCGGTAATTATGCAAGCGTTAAAGACGAGCATATTTATTTCAATTTCCATGCACTTCGCTGCTATTAAATTTGTCCAACAGTTTGATGCCTTCTTAAAGTATTGAACGGATTTCTCAATTAAAGTCAAGCGATATTATTTTTCTACAAATTATACATATAGGATCGGTGCACTTCGTATCAAAATGTTTCACGATTAACCAATGTAAATCACTTCATGAACTCTGAATGAAGATAAAAAATTGGTAAATAATATTAAAGATAAATTTGCGTCTTTGGATGCCATTTAATTGAATTGTGAGTTGAGAGAGCGTCCTCCTTGCAATTTAATTGAATTGCAAGTAGTTGAGAGAGCGTCCTGTCTATAACTCATGCAGGACACAAGCGACAGTTAGGACAAGGACAGCGTAACATCTGTGTTCAGTGGGGCCATACTTTCAAAACTCGCTAAGTGAACGTAAGTACTTACGACCTATTTTCTTGTCTATGATTGGTGGATTTTGTTCGATAGGCTGTCAATTATTGGCTGATGAACTTAAGATCTCTTAACTTTCTTTGAAAGTAAAGGCCCAGATAAGCAGTGAGTTAAGATGACTCATTCGGTGCGTCAGTACACATGTATATATATAGACCCATGCCCTTCATGGAGTCTTTACGCCACGCTTGTTTCAACGACTTATTTGCGTCAGACAGATCCGGTCACGCTAATTATTACAGGTGCTTGGAGTGCGTCACAATAGGAAAGAAATTAATTATTACAGGTGCTTGGAGTGCGTGACAATTAATAGGAAAGAAATTAATTATTACAGGTGCCTTGAGTGAGTCACTGTAGGAAAGAACGTAATTCATAGAACTTCACGTAATCAGACTTTTCTCTCCTGTCATCAATGTTAGCAGGTTTATTCTAAAGGATCATTCAGATACACTTATTGTAAATAATAAAACGTTTACTTCCCAAAGATAATGCTATGCCATGCCATGGATTAATGGCCATGCCATTAATCCATGCCATGCCATGGATTAATGGATGTGCCATGGAATAATGGCCGTAGCTGATGATGCATAACTAAAACGATTATGAATATTTGTAAACTTGTTGCCTTTGGTGATGATGTGTAGTTTATATGCTACAAATATATTAAATCTCAGATAGGATTTATTTGGCTATGAAAAAATTTCGACATACCTTCCTTTATTTCTCTGAAATTGTTTTTTAAGTTTATCGAACTAATTAAATTAATCCTCAGGGAACTTACTAAAATATTTTCTTAATAAAACTAAATAAACGACCGGCGCTTACATGAATTCCTTTCCTGTACAATCTTTTCATGTAATATGATGAAAAAATCATTCCTATTATGGAAAAATAATTGCTACGAGTAGCAAAGTATTTTTATGAACCTTAGTTGTGAAATTGATTAAAAATATTTAGAGAGCTTCCAATTTACAAATATATTGGTTTTGTTACATGAGCAAAAAGAAATAAGTTCTAAATTTAAAGCTTATGCACAGGATTATGCATAACAATAATGTATGAAGTTATTTTCTATAACTCACAGTGATATCTTTCTCGAGCTTGCTCAAAAAAATAACAGTCTATATTTTTAAAAAAATGTTTCTCACTCAATGAAGAGTTTCAGGATATTGATGGAGCGGATAAGAAAGCTTGTTGCTAGAAAGAAGCTTCGTATATGTATGTATATGTATCATATATGTTATCGTATCCTACCATACATATAAGCACTCAATAAAATCACATAATAAATTTGAATTCCTTCCATATATATTAATTTAATTTCGCAATTAAATATTTTCGTTTTGAAATTACATAAACTTTTATGCACTTTAATTATTGTTTATAATAATAAGAGCCTCATACCATGAATATTGTATAAAAAATTACCCCTTGACTTTACCCTTCATTTAACATCTTTTTAATTCTGTACGTAATTTAAGCTATACAACACTAAACCTTTATAGCAAATATTTCAAACAACATTTAAAGTTGACGTTAACTTATTTATGGAGAATGACTAATTTTAAGCATGAAAAATGAGATTGTTCGGGATCTGTTAGAGCAACACATAGCATCTTCCTGTTTGGAGCGAAATTTTAAACAGTTTATCCATATCATCTGTCACCATGTTATAATGAGTTTAATGTTATATTACCTCAAATGCTCTGTACGATCTGTCTCCGCTGCCGTTCACGAAACGCTCCACCTGAAGCAAATCAGAAAGCTGCTCAATTCCTTTGCTTCCTCAGCGTTTTCTCGTGATAAATCTTAAAATTTATCAACAATGTCATGGAAAATTGACTGAATTTTAACAACTAACCTTGTCTTTCAAAACGTTTAGACGAGAATCTATATCAGGAAAGAGCCGAGTCTCGTCTGTGATGTTCCGTAGCTCCTTGTTGATGGCCTCAACACTGCTGTTCAAATAAGTGCCCGTGACAACAGTTGTTCTTTGATGATCTTCTAAAGACTCAGTTTTATTCCTAAGCCAATTGATGTCATGAGAAACGCTTTCTAAATTATTAGTGGTGTTCGTAATCCTTGCGGAAAGATTATCTTCTGACTTGATACTTGCTGAAAGTTTATCGATTCTACCATTGATTTCGTCGAAAGAATTGTTTGATAAAATTGTTATTTGTCGAACAAACATCATGAGGTTGGCGATCTTTTGGCTGGTTTCTTCAAGTGATTGTTGCATTATCTGCATCCTCGCATTCGATTCCTTCTGTTCCTCTGTCAGTCGCAGCAAGGAACCTTCCAGATTTTTCAGTCGCTCTTCCTGATCCAACCAATTAGGAGCTTCTCTCAAGCCCCCGCTCACTTGCTGTCGATAAAATAAATTTTAGTTACCAAATAATATCATTTATGAAGACAATTTTGAGATATATTTCATTCTATTGATAGAGTAAATGAACTAACCACATTTTTATGGTTGATCAGAAGTCCTTAGAAGTGTAAAGCAAATTAAAAAACTCAAAGTTTTCCCCTGCTGGAATTAGCGAAGTGGATTACTGTATGGGAATGAATTATACAAGGGTTTCATTTAAACGATTTGTCATCGCAAATTTATAAGGCAACTCCGGACAAATGTCCGGATAAATCGGTACTTACATTATTGTGTTACCCAAAAGTTAATCTAACTTGACAACTGACGTCGAAAAACATATATTCGCACACTTATCTCTGGCTACTGTTATGCGGTACGTCATACCACATTACCAAAAGGCCAGTCTAGTCCAGAAAAGTACAAGTATCGGCGACAGGCCTATCCAGGCATATTCTTCAATGTGAAAGATACTATACTATACTATACTATTCTATACTATACTATACTATACTATACTATACTATACTATACTATACTATACTATACTATACTATACTATACTATACTATACTATACCGAATCACTTTCAACATAACGAAGAATTTAAATAAAGGCAAAACCCACATTCAAGCATTAATTTACACGATGTTTTTAAATAACACAATGAAATCACTAATGTCACATGTACTGTATGTATACTTACATTACTTTCATGTCGCATGGGAAATATACAAGATTTTTAAATATTATGTATCATATATAGACTGACGCAACCAACATAAGCGGACGAAAATGGTACGACATATGGCGTATGAACCATCAATACTATGTAATTAAATGCTTTATAATTACATCGAGACGCTGAAGGCGCGTAATTAATTAATTAATGATAGTTAATTGTCTTTATCTAGACAATTAACTATCAATACTAATTAAATGCTTTATAATTACCTCGAGACGCTGAAGACGCGTAAGGATTTCTTCTATTTTGTCGTCCGCAGCCGCGACCGAAGACTGCGGTGCTGTGAGCATTGTGTTCAAGCGTCTGGAAGTACAGAATCGTGGTGAAGTTTTAATAATAATAATAATAATAATAATAGCGGTTTCAGCGTCTATTAGGCGTAGGCCTGTCGCCGATTCTTAACATCGCAGAACATTCACAGCATTTTGCGGTCTCGAACTCGCAACTCACTGCTACAATTCTGCTGTGCTTAACCGCCCGGCCTCCTCGCCGATTCTGACCAGAAACTGGCGCACAGAGCTGGGATCGAACCCGCACCTCTCTGCGCCAATCTTGGTACTCTGAACTGTAACCACTGCATGGGCCACCCTGATGTACATGAAATCATATGTACATGCTCATATGTACATGAATCTTAATCAAAGTTTAAATTATTCGTTTCATTTGATACTTTTAGTGCTGAAAGGATTTCAAACTACAAATTTAAGGTGCATTAGGCTGAAGTTAGTTTTTGCAGAAATTTGTTCGATAGGTTTTTACCTACGAAAAATTAGAGTTGAATGCTAAAGAGGCACACAACATTCGAATCGTTAAAATTCTTATAATTTTTTTATTTATGAGAAGTTTATTTCGAATGATGAGGCGAATAAGTCTTAATTTTTCGCCATTTTGTTGAATATTTTCTTAGCTATGAAATTAGCAGAAATTTTACGCTTCTTCCTTTCTTCGATTCTGCTGGGGAAGAAAAGTTAGTTGTGATGGTTTAAGAAATATGGGGCGTGTACGGGGATAATAATTTTTCTGAATTTTTCGCGAAATTGAAAAAAAAGTTTACGAGAGATGTAACAAAGATTATACGAAGGCATTAAAGATACTGAGGGTTTGAGGATTGTACTTCAATGTGTAACTTAAGTAGGTACTTTACTCACTGACTGTAAGTTTTAGTGCAATAATGTGGCGCGAATATTTGTAATTAATGTCGGTTGCATGTGTAATTTTATTTACTACAGGTTGCAAGAGTAATGTTTACTTACTACATGTTGCTTTTATTTTAATGCCTGTTGAATGAGTTGTACACTGTCTGTTGTACTAGAAATCATGGTTTCTGTCTGTTGCGTGAGTCTTTAACTCTATACCGCCTGGCACGATCGAGTAACCGGAGCAATATTGTCACAAGCCTACTTCCCGAAAAGGATACGTTGCTAGTGAGCGCAAAATGACTTGCACTTACTGAGAGTTACTCTAGAACTAGCACTTACTGCCTGTTACTGCAGTACCAGTTCAAATCAATACTCATATCAATATCAAACACTCATATCATATCAATATCTTATAAACTCTTGGTTGCTTCCCAAAAAGGATACGTTGCTAATGAGCACAAAATGACTTGCACTTACTGAGTGTTACGCGAGAACTAGCACTTACTGTCTGTTACTGGAGTACCAGTTCCAGAACTGGTCAGTACGCACGAGGTAGCTCTGTAACTGCAGCAGAGATTGACTGTGACTTTCCAGCATGCCGGCCAGCTGCTCCATCGTCTTATTTGACTGGACATTCCCAAACCACAACACGGAAACTAAGTAGAAAAAAACTTCTTTCTTCATCTTTCTTCCGCTTGCAAAATAACGACGGTGTGATTTAAGATTAATAGATAATTATGACTTACATGGTTGATTTGCTGACCGATTATATTATTCGAAGTGTTTAGCGTCGTTTCACATACCAGGAATTAGAAAATATTTTTTATTTTTGAACCGTCTGAGTTTGACTCTGTGTGCATGAAACAGAAACAGAAGGTCGAAAGTATTTACTCACGGACAGATGTTAACTTCGATAATGTCGGATTTATATGGGATCTTTCGAAATTTTTGTACTAATGTGTTATTGGTGTTCAATCTGATACATAAATCTAAATCATCAATTTTTACATTTAAGGAGAATGTTGCCACACTAATTGGTGTGCTGTCTAAAGGCTTTTAAACTTCGCTCTACGTTCGTCTGATGTTTCGTGCTCATTTAAATGACATGTAGATGTATTTAAAAGTCACGTATACGAACATTACGCAGTGGCATGTCGCTCATACGCTTTACAAATAACTTGTGTACTCGAAACATATTTTATTTAATATAATTTCGCAATTTCCGACTGAACAATCAAAACCCTTTAGTCATAATTAAAGGAATTGAAAATTATTTCATTATAAAGCAGATCAGATTGAATTTTCGTTAAAATGGTCATTGACCTGTATCGTAAATATTTTCAAACCAAACCCTTTAATTATGGCCGATTCACGGTGTCGATCATAACTACCAGCATGACTTAGCCATTATACTCGGCAGCCTTTGTCTCTGTAACCGAAACTTCCATGGTTAAACATTAAAATGCTTGGCCTAATATTATTTCAACCATAGTTAAGCCAATCTTCGCTTAACTCTATACATATGGCACCACTGGCTTCATAGTTACAGTTGATTATGGAATGCGTTATGAGCAATGCATCAAACCATCACAAGTTACTTGAATTATGCCTCATGATTTCTGTTATTATGATTATTATTATATTTCTATCATGCTCTATGATATCAATATTTCTTTAAATTTTAAATCAACATTATACCAGTCACGCATTATGAAAAGAAAAGCGGTTGGCCTTTAGTTTGAATAACTTCACTGTCTAGAAAATCTTGAAGAAACATCGGTAAATGTTCAAAATTAGAATGAACACAAAGATCGCCGAGGAACCGATGCAACATAACCATCCCCGTCACTGTTGAAGAAACACTGAAGCTCAGCGGCAGAACATCCTGTATAGCTGCACTAAATACATATCTATTAATCATCAGTAACCTCTTTATTATACAAGTTTAACCCAGTTTATTATTCATGACATAGCTAATTTAAAAAATTATCAATTTACATATTCTGCATTAATTAAGTTTGAGAATATAAGTGTCATTAATTCTTGAACATATTGGCAACGACATCGAGTAACCACGTGCAAGCAAAAGATATTTTCCTGAAGGGTTGTTGAGAGGACGTGTAGACCACCTCGGTCAGGGTTCATCAATGGCGTCTTTCACTCATTGATGTTTATGTTTTCTCTCGTTTATTGGAGCACAAGTATATTTGGTCGCAAGACATATTCGTTGTCATGAAGAATCAGAAGGACCGTGAAGTGGTAATTTTTTTTTGATATATGTGGCCATGACACACATGTTCACATGTGGAAACTCCTGCGCAATTAGAGTTAATACAAAAATAATTTATAATTATGATAGTTACCTTAATCTTTAAACGGCAACTACATGATAGTTGACCAGATGAAAACTTCGTGATTTTTTATTGTTTATCTACAACATAGGTTTGAGTAAATATAGTTCATAAATAAATTATCCGAACAAAGTGCTTATATTTTCATTATAGCTAAACTGTACTTCATATGATTCGCTGAACATGTTCGGGATTTTAGCGCATTTCCTCATTTATGGAAAAAATGCGCTATTGTGCTCGTCATGTCCGTCCGTCTGTCTGTCCGTCTGTCCGTCCGTCCGTCCGTCCGTCTGTCCATCTGTCCGTCCGTTTGTCCGTGATTTCACGTATTCGTCAACGAGAAAATGCGCTCTCTGTCACTCACTGCAGTGAGTACTGAGTTATATTTTTTGAACAAGAGTTCACAACCAACGTCAACTTAGTTGAGTTTACAACCTAAAAAAGTCAGCGAGTTCTCACAGTGAAAAATGGCGTACTATATAGCTTCCCGCGTATCTACGTTACGTAGATACGCGATAAATCAGCACACTCATTCTACTGATTTATTCAACTAATGACCGTAACGTTTGTGTACGAGTTGTTCCAGTAAATACGCCGAGGAAACAATATTGTTGGTGAATAGTGGCTTTTGAACACTATTGAACACTACTGAATACTGTTGAACACTATTGAACACTATTGAACACTACACTATTGAACACTATTGAACACAATTGAACACTATTTGAAAGTGTTCAATAGTGTATTTGTATAATAGTGTAATAAAATCAATATTTGTTACAGACAAATTTTTGACTTTATTCAATCAAAATTTAACAAATAAAATCATTGAACCGATTGCCAAAATAACCACTAATTCTATCGTTCAAACTTTCTCGAAACTACAACCTGGTTCGCTTCAGACCTAATGATTTAAAAGGTCCATTTTTCAAACCTCGATTATTTCGACGTAGCCGTTGTTTACCTCCTAAAGATCTATTATGAAATATGAAACGTGTATTACTGATAAAAGTTCAAAATAATTCAACTTTGTTCGTCGATGAATAGGAGTATATACAGCGCTGCCATTTATACTTCCAGACGTTTGCTCTAAACCTTCAAGTTCGTTGTAACGTTACTACGAATACAGGGGAGTTCAATGTTCGTACGTCGATTTGTCACGCGACTTGTAAGTCGCTCAATGATTTGTGAATAAAAATCATCGGATTTTAGGCTTTGCTAAGTACGTTTAGGCATGCGACCAGCAGGTATAAACGACCCAGTCAAGAGAATCATCACAGTGCTAATGGGAAAACCATATGCATGTCTAGAAGTATTCGAATCGAATTCAGCATTTGCAAACCTGTTTTATTTTTTTTTAAATTTGCATTTCTAACCAAAATAATTTGACGCCTAGATTTTTACCTATCAAATCGCCGAAAATGGGATTTCATTAAATCGTTTAATACAAACTTTTTTTAAAATATTTGAAATTGTGAAAGGCAAACACTTAATTGAGATGTAATGTTATTCACACGTTTATCCAACAAGACGACAACTGTCATGCCCTCAAGGAGATCATTCGGACAAATTGTTTTGAATTTCATTTTCTTTATTGTTTAAATAGGAAGCGAATCGCGACTTTCAGGGTGACAATAAATGTTGTGTTATCAAATAAATAATTCGTTCAGAAAATATAGCGTGGGAAACTCTATACTGTACAATGGGCGAATCTGATTAAGTATACTGGTGCTTTACGATGATGATATACTGGTGCTTTACGATGATGATATACTGGTGCTTTACGATGATGATATACTGGTGCTTTACGATGATGATATACTGGTGCTTTACGATGATGATATACGTGATGATTTCTTTTACAATTAATTAACTTTATTGCGACTGGACTTATATGTCCAGCTCACTTCTTACGTTATAGCATACATATAACATATGTATTTCTGAGAGGGTTTTAGTCTATAGACTGCCTGCAGACTAAAGTAAGTGTTTTCATGTAACGCAATTTTATTGAACTCTTGAACCAATATTTCTCTCTTTCATTAAACAAGAGCTTTTCAGAATGTCGTAAAATACTTAATTGAATAATTAAATATCAAACAAAGTTATTTTTACTCACATAGAATGAAACAGAAGCAACAAGTATCGTTTGCGATATTGTGGAGAATAAACATGAAATGCTTCGTACGTCTTCGGCGCTGACGGCAACCAATTTCTGCACAAACTTCGGTCATGTGTGTAACACAGCGGCAATGTGTACATGGTTGTGTGTAACACAGCGGCAATGTGTACATGGTTGTGCATGTTGTAGATAAGCATCGATCCTGAAAAGACCGCCATAGCCTTGGTTACTCAACAATTAGTTGAGCCATGGACGTTGTGCTACTCAGTCTGTACGTGTTTGTGTGCGTGCGCCACTGCGTGTGTGGGCAGTGTGGCCAGTGGTGGTGAGCTGGTGACTGGTGACTGGTGAGCAGTGCACTCGCTGCACTGAGGCAGTCAGCAGTGCAGTGTGCACTGACACAGTGCACTCAGTGGTTGGTTGGATGCCGAGTGAGTAGGTGTGTCGCCGCTGCCGTTTCAAGTCTCGAAAGCACAGAATACGAGTTTATTCATTATTACCGGCGATATCACCTAAAATACCATCTAATAAATTAACATTGGTGAAATATATGATACAAGCATGCCACCTATTTAAACATGTTGTACATACACGATACAAATATGCCACATATTTAGGATTCTTCTTTTCGACGTTATTATCATATATTAAAACTTTCTATTATTTACCTCCTGAAAGTCAATAACGTGAGGAATCATTTAACCCATGGATCATAGATGGAACAGGATGATTACTGAATAGAAAGGACCAATTTTTGGTGCTGGACGAATTACTTGAATTAGCCTCTTACCGACTTGCGAGTTGCGACTAGCAACAACTATGAAATTGCAAACTTTAGGGATTTTAGGTACGAATAGCACTAAAAAGGACTAATATATGCAATAATGAAGAGTTGAATGATCAGAAAATATTGAGAAGTTCTCGTGCTGTGTTTAAGCAACGTTTCAAATTGTAATGGACCGAAATTTAGGAATCATTGACCAGCTCTTGCAACTCATTCGTCGGCAGTGAGATTAGTCGGCTTGGTGGTGTCGGACTGCCGGTGTGACCTCTCTGACTAGCCGCCTTGGCTACATAGCGCCGCTTTCGTCTATACTGTATGTACATGCTAGTTGCAATGAAGATTATTTACGTACGACTAGAAGCTGTGAAAACTTTCATCTTTGTTAGGTTATTCGTGTTAGGAGACAGTGCACTCGTACAGAAATTTGTGTTTAGCCTGTAAGTATGATGAATGCTTACGCAAGAAAAACTTTTTTCTGCCTCAAGCTTTTTGACAATTATGGCCCACAAAATGTCAGATTTACGGTTCACAATTTGTTTGTTAGATTATTTTTGGAAATATTTACTTTTTTTCCATACATTTGGCTAAAATACTATACCTCCTTTAATGGTTTTATTGAAGAATTACATAATAAAACCTCTTTCCGGTGCTATCCCATATTTTTAATTGCAGCGTTCCTATTAGTATAGCTGTTGCCTCGTTAACTGGGCATTTCCATCGTGAACGCACTCAATTCAACGGCGTAAATCGCAGGAATATTGTTCCCGATTATTGATATATTGAACAACAATCATTGATCAGTTATCGATATTTAGCTTGAAGTTGGAATGATCGATCGCAGCTCTCCTTGATTTGAGAGAAAACGATCTATAGACCGATCTCTGATCTGATCGTATTCACGTATAGATCCACTGGACACTGGACACTGGATACTGGACGCTGGACGCTGGACGCTGGACGCTGGACGCTGGACACTGGACACTGGACACTGGATACTGGATTAGCCTGTTACACGCATGACCATGCAGCACTGCATGACCATGCAGCACTGCATGAGGGGCCTATGTTTTATTTAATCTGTGTATTTTGTAATTCCGGTTAATTGTATGACCAACCATTTATACACTTCAAACCCTGTAACATATTTTAAGGTTGTCAGACACCCTGAAATTGATAGATAAGTGTGCCGTTGACTCAATTGTTTGCTCACCGGCTCAAAAGTTCGCCATGAGAGAATTCACATCACCTCCGCTTACATTAAAATTCAGTAAGAGCAGACCCTGCATGAGACTGCCCTATATTAAAAAGTTTTTAGTTTTCTCATAAATTGTCTTGTTTATAAATAACGAGTTGGTGGGTAGTAGTTTTATACAACTTGAAGGAATCCACAGTCGTCGTTTCGATTCGATATCTCAGATTGTAATTAATAAAAGAAAATATACCCACCATATTAAATTTTTACTCTAACATTAGCCTTTGATTCCTGCATATGCTCACAAAGTTTAGGCTTTGAGATCTAGTTTTTAATAAGCTAGCAATATTATGCAAAGTTAAAAAAATTGAGGACAAATTTTTATTTCATTTAAAAAAGCTACAATATCATGAATATGCAAATTTTACTGACACGGAGGTTGAAAATTATGTTTAACATAAAAATAACACAAAATAGTTACTTAAAATTTTTGTGCACTTCATTTCGTGACAAATGAATGATGTGACTGAAATTACACAAAAATTGACGAATAATTGAGTTGAATCACCTAAATCACTGGATGGATTGGTTGTTTAGGAAGTATCTGGTGGTTGCTTTTTCAACACCACAAATTTTTTGAATGTCTTGATTAGATAAAGTAATTTTAAAACTATTTATAACTCTAATAAATAAATAATATTTGCACCCCAAAAAATAAAAGTGTTTTTTATGTAACTAAAATCGAAGTGGCTATAGTAGCGGAAAGCACTAAACTCGCTGTTAATTAGCACTGAACGTATTAGGTGAGTACTTAACTATATACACACACACAAACGGACTTGTGTTGCCTTGCTTTTTCTGCCGTGTTTGATGAAAAAATTTTAAGCCTAGACAAGCCTCATAACCGCAGAGGTAGCGTTGTCGACAAATGCGGCCTGTTTCCGGTAATCTCAACCATAGGTCGGTTGAACGACCTGTCGAATATAAATTTCCACACTTGCGGTCTGGAGTCAACTGAGTTCAAATTTTCAACTAACCCAACTTTAACTTAAACAATAATTATCAAGCCAAGATATATTTATGCATACGTTTGTTATTGCATTATTTATTTTTTTGAGCCCAGTTTGAAAAAAGTGTCAGTTCTTAGTAATGTTATACGATCAAGGAAAGAAACATATAGAATAAGTCATGGACAAGCTTGCGTTACACAAAGCGAAGGAAAAGTACGGAGAAAGCTCATTCATTATACGCTAAAGAACAAGAATGAGTTTGCTGAAAATTATTTGCTAATAATGCATAATTTCTAATTTAAATTCATGCTGAGGTCACTTAGTAAAATTTTTAAATGAATTTTGGCGCTCATAAGTAACTATACGTAGTTATTGTTATGAAATTTCATTTTATCACAATTTACACAAAGAATGAAATTTTAGCCATTCCAACAAACTTGAATTTTGGAAAATGCGTAATATATTATATATGTACTGTATATTGGCTAGATTCATGCGAACCGTTTAGTGTAAATCTCAGGTCTACTGCCTGGTCAAATGTTGCAATAAAATTTCTAATCCTGTTTCTTTCACATTTGAATTCAAGTTGTCAATTTCAAAGTTGTTTAAAAAGTACCCAATACGACCATTACGCTCATATAATGTTATCCGGGACAGCGGAAAATGCCATAACTGAATTATCACAAATTAATTACATTTTAGCTAGTACTTTTCCATTTGATATAGCTTAGCACGAATATTTTCCTGCTATGCAAAAACATTGCGAAATTCACATCTGAGACGGTTATGCATACGAGTTGCCGCCAGAGCGATGATTGAGTGTAGGCTTGTTTATTGCACGTCATCTCACATCCATTTGGAGCCAGCAGGGGCCATACTTTCAAAACTCGCTAAGTAAACGTAAGTACTTACACACTATTTTCTTGTCAATGATTGGTGGATTTTGCTTGAAAGGCCGTCAATGATTGCCTGATGAACTTACGATCTCTTAACTTTTTTCGAAAGTGTGGGCCCAGATGTATGACGCAGCATTATGCGATGAGGATGTGCTAGACAGTCTACGCAAGTCGTATATATGGCAAGCTACCATGTTTAGTTATTATATTTTTCCACCTAACTGCTGTTAGGTAATTTTAGGCACTATTTAACTTTTTAAGGAAGGAAAGTGGAAATAACATGGTAGCTAGAAAGTGGAAATATTCGGAAGAGGAAGCTAGGAAGCTAGTGGTTAGCTAGGAAATGAAAAGCAGTTTCAGTGGAAATAAATGTAATATTACGGAAGATCAAAGCTGTCAGCCATTTTCAATATTCGTCCGTCAACTAAAATTCGAAAATTGCGTTTGCAGATTTTCATCATTTTAATCTGTCGAATTTCGCTTGAAATAAACTATTACGATAGTTTTTCCTGTGTGTATTTAGGATGAACCCTTATTCACAGTTTTATAGAGAAAAAAAATTTGTCAGTATGCGTACGGTATAAGTGATGAAGAGTAAGGAACCACGAATATCGAAACAACAACAAATGTTAACCTAACTTTTAAACGATTTTTGCAGGAAACTACTTTTTTTATTTTGTGAAATTTAACATCAAAATTAGCAATGGAGACCTGGCTCATAGCTTTACTCTCCGTCATTGGGGCTCTGTTGCTGTTATTTATTGTTTTGCCGGTGATGATAGGAATAATTTATCGGGCTCGGTCAAGAAGATGCCCCAAGGATGTAATGGTGACCGGCAAGACCGTCATCGTGACCGGACCAACGGCAGGTGAGTCAAAGGGTTATTGTGACCTTATGCTGAGTTCGAGACTTCCTAGTCCCCGGTCACGCTGATGCGCCGCCTTCGTCGTCCTCCGTCTCCGAGTCGTCGTCGGATGTAACGTTGGACGTGTTCCGTCTATTTGCCCTCCTTTGGGCCACCTGATGCAAGATGCTGTTGCTTATCACTTGCTGATGGTAGTTTCCCATTACTGGACAGTCCGGGATCTTCTTCAGGAACTTAAGAAACTTATCCAGTTGTCTCTTGAAAGATGCTATTTTTTAAAACCTTTTTCATTGATAATTACGTATATCACGTGCACTTGAACCATCGTTAAACTTTATAATGTTATAGTACCTGCACTAGAAGCATCTGCCTACTTTTTTTATCGGAATAATACGCAGACGTGAACAATTGTGAACTTTTTATCTACACATCGCCTACACTTGAGCCATGTGTCATTTGACGGCACTTAATGGTGTCTACCTATAATAGCAAGTAATAAGGTTAATGTCTCCCTCGACAAAACATATAAATTCCTGGCAACGATTGAGATTGTGAGCCAAGAAATAAGCTAAAGAAATGCGCAAAATATAATTGAAGATAGACCGTATTAACACTGCGTAAAGATTTATATGGATGATGTGAGTTTGATAACGTCACTCGTAAAGTCACTTAATTGTTCGCGCCAGCGTTTCATTACTTATTTGCATTCTAGGGCTGTATGAATGAAAGATTTACTTTGATATTTGTAAGTTCCGAACAAACAAGTATTGACGCTGATGATTCCTAAAGAAAGTTATAAATTAATTATTAATATTAATAATATTATACTGTATATTAACAGGTATCGGGCGCGTGACTGCGCACGAGATGGCGAAGAGAGGCGCGCGCGTCATCCTCGCCTGTCGCAACACACGGAAAGCTGAGCCTATAGCAGGTCAGTTGAGCCTATAGCAGGTCAGTTGAGCCTATAGCAGGTCAGTTGAGCCTATAGCAGGTCAGTTGATCCTATAGCAGGTCAGTTGAGCCTATAGCAGGTCAGTTGACAGGTCAGTTGAGCCTATAGCAGGTCAGGCAGTTAAAGATCAGCGTGATTTCATCCAAAATGAATTTGATTCTTCGGAACAATTTCATGGTTTATCAATCGTTATCCATGGTCTTATTAATCACCTTTTAATATATTTTTAGAAATTGGATTCTACAACGATCAATATAATCGCATTATTTTCATTATATTCTTCTCCTTTATTAATGTCTACCGAAACAGTTCAATACGATTATATATACATTAATTATATTATCACTTTTTAGTAGGTACTAATTACATATTTAGGCTTGTTCACAACCGTTAGGCTTTTTTATAGACTCTGCCTCTTATCATTCAGACGACAGGGCCTCGAGTTAATGAGGAGATAAAGAGGTCAGTCTTGCTTTATCGCGCGATTTGCCGTGATAACGACTCATTGCTTTTGTGCGTAACACAAAAACTTATAAAAGTTCGTCAACATCGCCTATCAAAACGCTCAATTATGTAAATAAGAGTCTCGCAGGTCCTGATAAATGCTTAACTGTACCTGCGTTGAGACTTTGAGATGACAAACAACGATGCGAAAGTAAATTCCGTCGGAACCTTGGCCCATACTTTCAAAAAAAGTTGAGAGATCGTAAGTTCATCAGCCAATCATTAACGGCCTTTCGAGCAAAAATCCGCCAATCATGGACAAGAAAATAGTGCGTAAGTACTTACGTTCACTTAGCGAGTTTTGAAAGTATGGCCCCTTGTCTGATAAATGAGAGATCGTGTCTGGTGCTCTATTATTTCTTAGTATAATATGACGTATGATCAACTACTCAATTGTCGTCAAGTGATTTATCAAGCAACTGTTCAAGCTATTTTGTTGAATATATATCAAGAATATCGAGAGTATAAGCAAGAATATCATGACTTCTCTCTGCAGAAACCACATTAGCTGTTACACATGTACTAGGATTTATTTTATACATATGTAGGCTAGTGCAAATTGAGTGCTAAGCTGATACCGAACATTTAGTGTTTCTGTCAGATGGAACTGTATTGTGGCTTTTGCATTTTTGCGAACGGCACAATACAGGAGATTCAGTTGCGAGAATATAAAGTGTAAGCGCTGTATGAGCAGGTAAATTGCGCTGTATGAGCAGGTTAATCACTTTAATGATATATATAATGCAAGGTTATTGGTAGCTAAAGACGACGACCATGATCTGTGCAAATCAATGCAATACTGAGAGGAATCGTTGCATTTTAAGTATGATCTAAGGGTGAATTTATGTTAACATCGTTGCATTTTAAGTATAATTTTATGGGTGAATATATGTTAACTATTATTACCTTGCCGCAGAGCAAATAAAGAAAGAGACGAACAATGACGATGTCGTGATACGACATCTCGATCTGTCAGACTTGACCTCCGTGCGAAAGTTTGCTGAAGAAATCAATTGTCAAGAAGAGGCTGTCCATATTTTGGTGCGTAAAAGATGTATTTAGGATTCCGGAACATACAACGTTTGTTTCAAATGTATCCTCATTGGTTTTTATTCGATTGGTATAAATCAATAACTTGCAATTACTCTAAAAATCTAGCGTTTCTCGTTGACAAAATTGATTGCATGGCTATCATTTCAGTTAACATTCCTATCATATCAACTTCTTGGTATCATTTTTTTAGCGGTTCTGCATTACCGTACTTCATTTCTATCAGTTGAACGAACTTCATATTAATAAATGTTTGTCATAGTAATTATATACATATATCATTCATTTAGTCTTATCTCTGAACGGCATATTTTAAAACGAATTCTCAAACGCATATCGAATTATCACTTACACACGTCGCTTCCGGAGCCAGCGTCAGCAGACTGAAAATGGTTACGGTATATTTAAATTCTTGTGCATTCTCATTCCAAAACATATTTGAGCTTAACTTTGCTTCTCGACTTCTCGACCCACTAAAATTGGTCAAATTTTAATTTTCCTTCGCGAAAATTGTGTTATAATAACAAAAGTAGTTCGGTTTGTGGCAGTTTTGGTTTGATTTTAACTTGTTGAAAGATGCGCCATGCGCTGTCTTATTCCCCACTAAACTGCGACTTTTTCTCCTGTATGACTCTTGCTGAGCTGCAATTAAATGCTTTATTTCATCATTGACTATTGAATAATTACCTCGCTTCAGATCAACAACGCTGGGATTCTGTCGCCCGACAAGAAAAAGTTGTCGCCTCAAGGCTTCGAGATCACCCTTGCCACCAACCACCTGGGACCCTTCCTGCTCACCAATCTGCTGCTCGGTAATAAGTGCTACAAGTGTCTAGTAACTATAAGTAACAAGGTAATAAGTGTCTCCCAACAATTTACTTTGTTCTTCTCACTATATTTATGCTCAGTTGTACGGGCTCAGCCCGTCCCAAGAATTGTTAGTTACCAGAGGTGGGCAGTAGCGCGCTACATGTAGCGGCCGCTACTAGCGACTGCTACATTTTCAGTAGCGGTAGCGGTTGCGGCGCACCATTTAAGCAATTGTAGCGGTAGTTATAGCGTCCGCTACATTTAGAGCATGTAGCGGTAGCGGTAGCGGCCGCTACATTTCAAAGTAGCGCTGCCCAGCTCTGCTTGTACTCTCTTCTAATGTTTGCTCGGATCGTTTGTCGGGGTAACACCTTGAGTGTTGTACGTTTTTCCCTTATGTTGCAAGTCATTTTTCATACACGTGAATCAGAACACAATTGTTATTATATTTTTATAAAAAAACGTGAAAGTTAACCGTAATAATCTCATAGGTACTCTTGATGGTCTGACTGTGCAGACAAGATCAAGGCGAGCGCCCCTAGCCGCATAGTGAACGTATCGTCGCTGGGGTACGCAGCTAACGTGCTCTACTTGGATGACCTCAACTTAGAAAAGACAGCCTATGGCGTCTACAGAGCGTACTGCCAGAGCAAACTCTGCAATATACTCTTCACTAAAGAGCTTGCCGTACGCCTGCAAGGAACAGGTACGCTGACGACAACGTCTGTTATCACTGTTTTCACGCGACTCAGCGTTTACTCGATTAAAGTTAATGCTATTAAATTTTTTGTGTATTTACGGTAACTCCGGTGGCCCAGGCATTTAGATTCGGATAGCATTGCATCGCTGTTTCGTTTCACCCTGATTAATGGCTATGTATCGTGAATAAGAATAATTAACAATGTTCGATTGCTGAAAATCATGCACAAATTATATGCTTCATTAATGATAAAATGTTTTGTTTTCAACACCATGATTAATGAGTTTTTAGCGCATTTTCTCATTTTTTGAATAAATGCGCTATTGTGCTCGTTATGTCCGTCCGTCTGTCCGTCTGTCTGTCCGTGACATCACGTTTTCGTCGACGAGAAAATGCGCTCTCTGTCACTCACTGCAGTGAGTACTGAGTTATATTTGTTTCAATGTGCAGGGGTGACGACGAACTGCCTGCACCCAGGCTACGTGTACACCGACATCTTCGACCGCGGCGAGGGGCCTGCCGCTGGACTGAACTTCCGTAACCTCTCACCCAGAGTGATGGGACGGGTGAGCTGACTTATCGTTATCTCCCTCCTAAAGGGATGGGTCGGGTGAGCTGACTTATCGTTATCTCCCTCCTAAAGGGATAGGTCGGGTGANCTCTGCGACAGAATTCAAAGAATTTCCCTTTAATTCTTTGAATTCTGTCGCTGAGAAATTTACTGAGGAAGGAAATTTATTGAATATTGGCAGGTCAACTGATGTTACCCTGGATATATTATCCCTGCTATTCGAAAAAAACTAAATGAATTTTTATTCATACTCTGCCCTCAATTTTCCAGTGCCTCAAGTTTCCGTCGTTACAAACAACATTTTACTCCAAGTTGTTATCCCGACACGATTAGTATCGTGGATGCACGCTCCAAACGCCCCCATATATTCGCGGTGCCAGGCTACGAATATACAATCTTCGACAAATATCATAAAAAGTGTCCCAAAAATATGAACGCTCCGGCTTTTCAAATGATTATTTATTGTCGCTTCAAATAAACAATATTTAACTGCTACATTTTGTTTATCTTATAGAATGCGTTTTATGAAAAGACATACATTATGAAAATAAAAGAAAACCAAGCTTATTAGCGCATTCTCTCATTTATTGAAAAAATGCCCTATTGTGCTCGTTATGATCGTCTGTCTGTCTGTCTGTCTGTCCGTCTGTCCATGACTTCACGTTTTCGTCAACGGGAAAATGCGCTCTCTGTCACTAACTGCAGTGTGTACTGAGTTATATTTTAAGTGCATTTTCTCATTTATGGAAAAAATGCACTATTGTGCTCGCCATGTCCGTCTGTCCTTCCGTCTGTCTGTCCGTCCATGACTGCACGTTTTCGTCGACGAGAAAATGCGCTCTCTGTCACTAACTGCAGTGAGTACTGAGTTATATTTTTAGCGCATTTTCTCATTTATGGAAAAAATGCACTATTGTACTCACCATGTCCGTTTGTCCTTCCGTCTGTCTGTCCGTCCGTCTGTCTGTCCGTCCATGACTTCACGTTTTCGTCGACGAGAAAATGCGCTCTCTGTCACTCACTGCAGTGAGTACTGAGATATATATATATCTTTNGTAATTAAACATCAAAACACAACTGTTGATAATTCGTAATTAAACATCAAAACACAACTGTTGATAATTCGTAATTAAACATCAAAACACAACTGTTGATAATTCGTAATTAAACAGCAAAACACAACTGTTGATAATTCGTAATTCAACATCAAAACACAACTGTTTATAATTCGTAAATCGTAATTAAACATCAAACCCCATTTGTTGATAATTCGGAATTAAATATCAAAACCCAACTGTTGATAGTTCATATTTAAACATCAAAACACAACTGTTGATGATTCGTAATTAAACATCAAAACACAACTGTTGATAACTCGTAATTAAACATCAAAACACAACTGTTGATAATTCGGAATTGAACATCAAAACACAACTGTTGATAATTCGTAATTAAACATCAAAACACAATTGTTGATAATTCATAATTAAACATTGTAACACAACTGTTGATAATTCATAGTTAGACATCAAAAGCCAACAGTTGGTAATTCGTAATTAAACATCAAAACCCAACTGTTGGTAATTCGGAATTCGCATCTAAACACAACTGTTCGTAAATCAGAATTGAACATCAAAATGACGTCAAAAAAGTCAAATGCGCGGAAGGATACAGAGAAATCCGGATTCGTCATCGAAAAGCGTACATTTTTCATTATTTTTTGCTTGAATAAATTTTCGGATATTCAATAATGAAAAAATATCAACACAAACATTGAATGTTAATACAAAATCAGCTGATTTTTTGTTTGTTTTTCGTTCAACAACTTGAAAAATTCAATTGTAGAAGCATTTAAACGTTGCTCCGAAATCACTCACAACGAAACAATTTTGTTGCAACTTTTCAGCCTTCAGCAAACCTCAGCAAATTTTTAACGTTGACGTTAAACTCTCCTCCATAACTCTCCTTTTACCCCTTAGGTTCTTAATTAATTGACAAGATTATTTCAATTTCAAAAATATATAAACGTTAAATTTCGACCGCAAAGAACACTTATCTTTTTTATCTTAAATGTTGACCTTAACATTTAATCAGTAACTATTTATTTTTTTACCAACCGTCATGAACAATGATTTCACACTCAGTTCTTGCAATTAACTCGTTTCAGTCATGTGTTGGCTTACCTTTTCTTCTTTTCATGTCAGATGAACGAAGGAAGAATAGGCAAATAAAACGAAGGTTATAAATTCTCTCTCTTTCTTCGATGAAATCATCTTGTTGTCATTGTAAATGCGGCATAGTGAGCGATTTGGATCTGAAAAAATTACAACACAGTCATAATTAGCATAAAATTGGATTTTAAAAATTAAAATAAGGTACTAAATCTAGATTGCGTGGTTTTTCAAAAATTTCTTACATTACATTCAGTAAGTTTTCAGGAGGTTATTTTAGATTGGGGTAATACAGCGTGCTATATTCTGATTTCAATTAATAAAATAATTACAATAGACACGATTACAGTGTAAAGTGAAATTGAATCTTATTATGGGAATTAAGTTTAATTAATGGGAACTGATAATTTAATATTTTAATATAAATTTTTAATATATACAGCAAAAAGCGCCAGCAAAAGTCATCATTGGCGTAAATCTAGATGGTAATACGGATTCATAGTCTAAAAGATATGATTTAAGAAGCTAATAAACAAATAATACTAGTAATATTCATAGTGATTATATGCCTTGAGACTCCATCATTTTTGGCCATAACAATTCGTCTATTTTAATGGCTAAAAATTTTGCTAGAGCAGTTGTCAGTTTGCTTACATTTTATTTTCTAAATGATACTTTTCGGGGTTAGAATGCGTTTTCATATGCACGTATTTCAGTCGTACATTCCGACAAACGAGTTTCGATGGCATAAAACAGGTTGCATAGTTTTTTTGCTAAGTCGCGTTTGATTTCCAACTCTAGGTTTTTTGCATTACAGACTATACGAGAATTTCTTAACTGTGCAGCACGCATGAGGCAGAGTAGCAAATCCCCAGACAGTCGTGCACCATCGCACACTTGGCTGCGCAAGTAATCTGTGCAGGAAAACCCCTTTATTTATATTAGCGAATAAAACATCAAAACCACTTTAGCTTCAAACTCGAGGTGGAGTTAGGGACATGAAAACTTTGTGTGTTTAAATCCATTCAGTAAAGTAAAATGAGATTTTAAACGGAGTTTGAACGCTAACAGCAGACGTAAAAACATCATTTCCGATCATCATTAAACTTCAAATTTTTTTTTCAGAATGTTGCTAGTAACTGCAGGGTTCATAAATCCGATGAAAAAAAATGTGACAACGTTTATTCCTGAACTTTTCAAACTTGACCGCGCAGTCAAGTAGGCACAACTTGCAGTAATCTTAAAATTAATTATTTCCGAAAATATAGTGCAGAATAGAGTTTCATAAGAATTGTAAAAATAATATGATGCATTGCATATCAGAAATTGATATCAGCGAGAATTGCGTAATTACTGTCCTGTTGATGAAAGTTAAAGGATTGCCACTNAGGACCATTGCACCATCGAATGAGCATTGAGGCTTTGATTAAATATGATGTATGACGATTGTGAACTTGGTCGTAAAAGATAATTTCGAATTTTAAACCTATCTCAAAAATGAAATAAAGGAACATGCTGTAGGACGCATTACCTTTGTGGTCGCAGGTTCAATTAAGTTTTATTTTCGCAGGTTTCTTGAACGCGTTGGAAGCTTGTGGCCTCTATTTGAGCCCAAGCACACAACACCAAAAGAGCGAGTATCGTCAGGAACTTCATCGAGACAAGGTCTACTGATGGTCACTTGCCAGTGGACACAGATGTGCACTTCGGGTTCTGGACGGAGGCATTTGTGTCAAGGAATATTCGTGAATATGATTACGATATTTACCTGAATCACGCGTGCAACAATATCTCTACAGGAAGATAATACAGTAGACACCTTAGTATGTTGTAGTTGTTATTTGATAAATGGTTAGAATGATGATGTTTGATTCAGTTCATTTTGGTGGAAGTAAGTTCAGTGATGAGAAATCTTAACTTTTTACAACACTTCTCTTCAACTTCACTTCATGTTGCTTGTTTGTTTTTCTTTTTTGTCTGCTACAAATCTTATAATCGATATTCAACACACTGCTACCTGTCAAATCGATCTGAAATTTTGCACATTTGCGTAAAAATTTAGACAATGCATGAACCAATTGATAGAATAAATAATTGAAATTTTCAAAAATTTTCTAATATTAAAAAATGGAAAAATAATTTTGTCTGCTTTAGGTTTTATAATCGATATTTAACACATTTCTACCTGTCTAATCGAACTGAAATTTTGCACACTTACGTAAAGTCGGTGACAGTGCATGAATCGAATGACAGAATAAATAATTTTGAAAATTTATTTTCTAAAATATTGAAAAAAACTTTAAAATCCTTTTTTTAACATATGAAAATAAAATTAGAAATTCATTGTCCATGTGTATCGGAGACATTGGATTCCTTAAAAGTGCTGTCGTTAAAAATTATTTTTTAAATGCATATTATTACTAAATATTTTGTAAAAAGCCTAAATTTCCACAAAAGTTCTATATTACTTTCATCCAATAAATTCCATTTATCTATCTTTCACTGACAGCACGTAAAGCGCTGTTGGTTGTGACGATGAAATTCTCTTTGAACTTCGTTCGAACATTGATACTTGTATACTCAGTATTGACTGATAGAATTACCTGTTAACGATTGATTTATTATTTGTGCGTGTCGATTATTTGCGCACTTGAACTTAAACCTAAAATTAATTAAATTAATTTCCTAACGTAGGAAGTTCGTGTGTCCGATTCCGTGTCATGCATTTAAGATTCAACTTCATAGTTACGAATAACTCAACTTGTGTGTCAATATTATTGAAGCGGCGAGCAAAAGTTTTTATTTTGAGTTTCTGGTTCTATTGACAAAACGTTAATTATTTATCCCACTTTTATTGATTTAAAAAGTTATCAAGAGATCAAATTATCAAATTATTATCATCTCAAT